GCAGGTACAGTACAATTATATAGATGCTAACTAAAATTTTGTGTTTTTATCCCCCAAATTTCCACTTGACATTTTTTTCTTCCATTCGCCAGTTTCCACCAATTGTTTGATGCTTTTTGCCAACCCACCAGGGCCTACCCGTGCCAACCCGCTACCCCAAATTGTACTCTCCTTCTACGGTCTTTGCCTCCCATATGTCTCTAGTAAATTTTTCACCTCTGCACCTTTAATTGAATTGATGATTTTTGCTGCTATTCTGTTGATAAAGGATTTCCACATCTCATTTGTTTGGATACACAAGAGACTGATCCCACTGCATATGGAAGACCCTTAGATCTCTCAAAATCACATGATGGGATTGCTGCCTTGGTTTTGGGTTTTTCAGGTAAGTTTTTTTTCTTCCATTCGCCAGTTTCCACCAACTGTTTGATGCTTTTTGCCAACCCACCAGGGCCTACCCGTGCCAACCCCCTACCCCAAATTGTACTCTCCTTCTACGGTCTTCCCCACCTGTATGCCTCTCGCAAAATTTTCGCCTCTACATCTTTAATTGAGTTGATGATTTTTGCCGCTGTTCTGTTGATAGAGGATTTCCATATCTCATCTGTTGGGATACAGAGGAGACTTATTCGACTACATATGGAGGACCTTTAGATTTCTCAAAATCACGGGATGGGATTCCTGGCTTGGTTTTTGGGTTTTTCAAGTAAGTTCTGAACAATTCCCCTCAGAATTGGAGCTATCTCAATGTAACTTTTGAATAGAAAGTTAGAAAAAAAATGGAAAAAAAGAAAAAGGAGAGTAGAGAGAGAGAGAAGAAGAGAAGATAATGTTAACGAAAATAATATTTCTTCCATGCACATGTGATCAGTTTTAGCCAAGATGTGTCAATTTTCGTTGCAGGGGAGAAGATAAAATTGATAGTGTTCAGCTTTTAATTTTCTTAACTACGTAGTTGAATTTCTGAATTTTTTTATTTTCTTAACAACGTAGTTGAATTTGTACATTTTATTATTTAATGCATTATTAGATGTGAACTGCTGATGGTTAAGTGGACCCATACTCTGTCGACATGTGAAGCAAATCCCACATTTTTGTACTGAATTGAATTAATATGTGCAGACTGGGTATATTCTACAAGAGAGAAAGGACCAATTGCAGGTACAGTGCAATTAAATAGATGCGAACTAAAATTTTGTGTTTTTATCCCCCAAATTTCCATTTGACAATTTTTTCTTCCATCTGCCAGTTTCCACCAAGTGTTTGATGCTTTTTGCCAGCCCACCATGGCCTACCGTGCCAACCCCCTGCCCCAAATTGTACTCTCCTTTTACGGTCTTTCCCTCCCGTATGTCTCTAGCAAAATCTTCGCCTCTGAACCTTTAATTGAATTCATGATTTCTGCTGCTGTTTTGTTGATATAGGATTTCCATATCTTATCTGTTTCGATACAGAGGAAACTAATTCCACCGTAAATGGAGGGCTTTTAGATTTCTCAAAATCATGGGATGGGATTCCTAGCTTGGTTTTTGGGTTCTTCAGGTAAGTTCTCAAGAATTCCTCTCAAAATTGGAGCTGTCCTAATATAAATTTTGAATAGAAAGGTAATAAAAAAAGGGAAAAAAAGAAAAAGGAGAGTAGGGAGAGAGAGAAGTAGAGAAGATAATGTGAACGAAATTAATATTTCTTCCATGCACATGTGATGAGTTTTAGCCAAAATGTGTCAATTTTCATCGTAGGGGAGCAGATAAGATTGACAGTGTTCAGCTTTTAATTTTCTTAACTAGCTAGTCAAATTTCTACTTTTTATTAATTAATGCATTATTAGATGTGAACTGCTGATGGTTAAGGGGACAAATACTCTGCCGACATGTGAAGCAAATCCCACCTTTTTGTACTGAAATGGATTAATATGTGCAGGCTGGGTATATTCTACAAGAGAAAAAGGACCAATTGCAGGTGCAGTACAATTACATAGATTGTAAATAACATTTTGTGTTTTTATCCCCCAAATTTCCATTTGACATTTTTTTCCTTTACCTACCAGTTTCCACCAAGTGTTTAATGCTTTTTGCCAGCCCACTAGGGCCTACCGTGGCAACCCCCTATTGCAAATTGTACTCTCCTTCTACGGTCTTTCCCTCCCATATGCCTCTAGCAAAGTTTTCACCTCTGCACCTTTAATTGAATTGATGATTTTTGCTGCTGTTCTGTTGATATAAGATTTCCAAATCTCATCTTTGTTTGGATAGAGAGGAGACTGATCCCACTGCATATGGAGGACCCTTTGATTTATCAAAATCACGAGATGGGATTCCTGGCTTGGTTTTTGGGTTTTCAAGTAAGCTCTCAACAATTCCTCTTAGAATTGGAGCTATCCCAATATAACTTTTGAATAGAAAGTTTGAAAAAAAAAGGCAAAAAAGGAAAAAGGAGAGTAGAGAGGGAGAGAAGAAGAGAAGATGATGTTAATGAAATTAATATTTCCTTCACGCACATGTGATGAGTTTTAGCCAAAATGTGTCAATTGTCATCGCAGGGGAGAATATAAGATTGACAGTGTTCAGCTTTTAATTTTCTTAACTAGCTAATCAAATTTTTACATTTTATTATTTAATGCATTATTGGATGTGAACTGCCGATGGTTAAGGGGACCCATACTCTACCGACAAGTGAAGCAAATCCCACTTTTTTGTACTAAAATGGATCAATATGAGAAGACTGAGTATATTCTTGTCATAACTCAAATTTTAGTAGAATATTATATTATTTTTATTTTTATTTTAACTACTATGTTTTGTTTTCGTTTTCCTTGTTAGGTTCTGGAGC